AGAGAGATAGAGAGTTAGAAACATTGATGAGAGAGAAACATCGATCAGCTGCCCCCTGCACATCTCCTACTGGGGATGTGCCCGCAACCAAGGTACATGCCCTTGACCGGAATCGAACCCGGGACCCTTCAGTCCGCAGGCCGACGCTCTATCAACTGAGCCAAACCGGTTTCGGCTCAAATTCCTTCTTACACATTATCACCCGTGAGCAACACAGCCACTTAACGAAATAGAGAACTCTACCTTGTTCCACGGACGGATATGAAAGAGTGGAAAAGCAACCCAAAATTTCTACCAGAGGACCTCTGCTTTTCCCTCTTGTAAATACAGTTTTGTTTGGACAGGGGAAAAGATTCTGTTGCTGAGACTATAGTTTAAAATGCACTGGTTTGGATGGCCTAGCCCTAGTCCTTACCTATCTCCTGCCTATGTATCTGTAAGAACTTCTTCCTAATTAGTTTCCCAGCTGATAATTTTTTCTTCCTCCATCCAACTTGCATATTGCATATTTGAACTATAAAAGTTTACATGGAACATGTTAATTACAAAACAGAATTGTATAATAAACCAAACAAACCAACCACCCAGTCCTACAACTAAAACACTCCTGGTAGCTTACATCTCCCTGCATCTACCTCACTAGTCTGAACGCTGTGCCTGATACCTGGAGCTAATCACCGTCTTTCACTTGGAACTTTTCATTCTATAATCATGCATTGCTTGACAATGGAGACACATGCTGAGAAATGTGTCATTGATGATGTTGTCGTTGTGCGAACATCATAGAGTGCACTTACACCCACCTAGATGGTATTGCCTACTTCACACCTGGGCTGTATGGTTTAGGCCAGTGATGGCGAACCTTTTGAGCTCGGCGTGTCAGCATTTTGAAAAACCCTAACTTAACTCTGGTGCCATGTCACATATAGAAATTTTTTGATATTTGCAACCATAGTAAAACAAAGACTTATATTTTTGATATTTATTTTATATATTTAAAGGCCATTTAACAAAGAAAAATCAACCAAAATAATGAGTTCGCGTATCACCTCTGACACGCGTGTCATAGGTTCACCATCACTGGCCTAGACTCTAGGCTATAAACCCGTGCATCATGTTACTCTACAAAACAACATGAGATTAAATCAAGCTCAAGAGAAAATGATTCAATCAAGAGACTCCATGAAGAAAAGATGTATGGGGCTGCTGCTGGTGTGACATGGCACACTTTTACAGCAAACTTTTTATAAGTAGAAAGAGTACATTCTAGAATAAGAATATAGTAAATACATCAACCAGAACAGTTGTTTATAGTATTATCAACTCTATGTGCTGTATATAATTGCATGTGCTATTCTGTTATGGGACTGGCAGTGCAGGTGTGTTTACAGCAGCATCACCACAAACACATGAGTAATGCGTTGACACTATGACAGGTGGGAGACAGCTTCCACTATAATCTTACGGGACCACCATGTATATGCAGTCTGCTGACTGAAATGTCGCTCTGCTGCCTGTGACTATATATGCATGTGTATATGTGTACACATACACACACATATGTTTATATATATATATTATACTCTGTGCTAGAATATATTATTAATATTTAACTTGGATACATTTAGATAAAGTAATTTTACAGAAAGTGTGGCTAAGTGTAGAAAGCCTCACTGTGCTAAATACTTTTTTCATGCTTTCATTAGGAAAAAGAAACCTTTCTATTTTATTTTTGTCTAGATCAGTGGTTCTCAACCTGTGGGTTGCGACCCCTTTGGGGGTCGAACGACCCTTTCACAGGGGTCACCTAAGACCATCGGAAAACACATATATAATTACATATTGTTTTTGTGATTAATCACTATGCTTTAGTTATGTTCAATTTGTAACAATGAAAATACGTCCTGCATATCAGATATTTACATTATGATTCATAACAGTAGAAAATTAGTTATGAAGTAGCAACGAAAATAATGTTATGGTTGGGGGTCACCACAACATGAGGAACTGTATTAAAGGGTGGCGGCATTAGGAAGGTTGAGAACCACGGCTCTAGATCCTGTTTGTTGCTATTACTAATAGATATACGGCCCTCTGCATTTTCACATTTCCACTGAAGTATTAATGTTTGTTGAATGAGTTATTGCTGCATATGAGACTATATTATATGTTCTGGAGAAGACAAAGAAATATAAAAGATGGCCTCTGCTTTAAGATGCCTATGATTTAATTGGGAAAATAAGACATAATTATGTCAAAATTTACGTGGGAAACATCAGGTTCAAAATTAATCTGTCCCCTGGCTGCCAAGGAAGCAATTCCACTGTCAAGAAAGTGATGAGAAAGGTACCAAATACTAAAATTGGAAATGCTGAGTTCTCAGCTAAATCTGATTACACAGCTTGGTTAGAATGTTCATTTTTCCAATGAGGCAACATGGAAGTCAATACCCTGAGATGTGAGTCGGGTGAAGACGGATGCCATCGGACTGGTGCAGAAAACAGGCATTCAGGAGCCGGGTACAGAGTTCTGTGAGCAGCTATGATCCGGTAGCGTTTATAGCAGTAGTGGGGGTTGGGGGGTGGAAGTCAGGGACTAGCAATGAAGCAGGGATTCTCTGTTGAAAATGAGCAAGCTGTGTTCTACATTGAGGAGCAGACCTGTCCAACTGGAGTGGGAGGTGCTTGGGGGAGGGGGGCACGCTAAGGGAAAGGTGTGAAATTTAGGTTAGGGCCTGACTGAAACTGGCAAGGAAGGGCAGGTTTGGATTTCATCTTGCAAGTGGTTGCATTGAATTATTTGTCAGCAGGGAAGTTTATCTGGCTACTAGAGCCCCTTTAAGAAGCTAACATCATTTCACAAGGTTGAGCGCGTGCTACCCTACGACCTAACATCCATTTTTATAAATGCACATATGCACTGGTGTACTAAGAATGTGCATTGCTGCCCTGACCGGTTTGGCTCAGTGGATAGAGCGTTGGGCCGTAGACTGAGAGGTCCCGGGTTCGATTCTGGTCGAGGGCATATACTGTATGTTGGTTGCAGCCTTGATCCCCAGTAGGGGGCGTGCAGGAGGCAGCTGATCAATGTTTCTCTCTCATTGATGTTTCTAATGCTCTATCCCTCTCCCTTCCTCTCTGTAAAAAAATCAATAAAAGTATATTTTAAAAAAAAGAATGCATTGCTACATTTCCCACAATAGCAAAGCACTGGAAACAATCTGAGTTGTTCAGCAGGAGAAGGGGTAAGGACTGTGGTATGGCATCCACTGGAATACTATGTAACAACAAAATAAACCGGCTAAGCATCAACAGGGGTGAATCTTGGAATCACAATACTGAGTGAAATAACATGTTCCAGGAGATACATATGGCACTACTTTTACAGACTTCCAAAATCAGCAAAATCAACTCTATGTATAAATATATGTAGACTTAAATTTTGACTTATTTATTCTATGTTTTTTTGTTTGTTTAATCCTCACCTAAGAATATTTTTCCCATTGATTTTTAGAGGCAGTGGAAGGGAAGAGGAGAGACAGAGAGAGAAACATTGATGTGAGAGACACAGCGATTGGTTGCCTTCTGCGTGCACCCCAACCGGGGCCAGGGAATTGAGCCTGCAACCGAGGTATGTGCCCTTGACTGGAATTGAACATGGGACCTTTCAGTCCATGGGCTAACGCTCTATCCACTGAGCCAAACTGGCTAGGGCAATTTCTTCTACTTTTTAAAGAATATATAGTAAACTCTATTCTTAGAAAAGTAGTCAAGTGCTGCACAATGTTTTTGTCAAGGACTGATTACATCTATGACAGTGGTCCCACAAGAAATGGAGCTGAAATTTTCCTATCGCCTGGTGACATAGCCATCGTAGCATCATAGCGCAAAGGCTGCAAAAATCAACAGGGCTGAGGTTGCCATGGCAAACAGCTTTAAGCTGGGTGTGGATGCGGGTGACACTGGGGTGCTTCTAGAGGTGTGCCTGAGGAATTAGCTAATGAGGAGTGCATAGCTGAAGAAGAGGCCAGAGAAAAAGAACCGGCAGAAGAAAAAAGAAGGCCCAACCCCCAAGGAAATTCTTAGTGAAAGCTGTTAGCAGAAGCTTTTGCAGATTGCATCAAGCTCCTTAAAAAGTTTGAAAACACGGACCCCAACACTGAAAGGTTTTCATTAATAGCAATGTTCATGATGCCTTACGTACTTGCAAGCAAATCTCTGATTAAACAAAAAGAAAAAGAAAAAAAGAAACAAATGAAGTCAATGACCATGGACATATTTCTGAGGAGCGACCCCCCTCACAGGAGGAGCCTCGGGCAGGCCTTCTGGAGGTGCTCCAGAAGGCACTGCTATCGTAGGTGACAGCTCCCGGAGTGTCACAGCCCCGAGGACACTGCAGGGGGACCAGGGGCGGACACGGAAGACACATCTTGATGATCCTGACCCTGAGTAGGTCTAGGCTAACATGTGTTTTTGTCTTAGTTTTTAACAAAAGGTTTAAAAAGTAAAAAAATAAACTTAAATAGAAAAAAAGCTTATAGAATAAGGATATAGAGAAACAATATTTTCGTACAGCTGTATAATGTGCTTGTGTTTATCACTGTGTTACAGTTGCCTAAAGTATTCAGTACAGTATCTGTTGTTAAGTGGTGCGAGATTGTATATATATTTGTACAACCTTAGAAGGTGCAATAAAGGCAGAAGCAGTCTAGACAGAAACTTTCCCATCAAAAAACCAAGAGCTAACACCCATGCCTGTAAACGCCCCAATGAACTCCCTAATAAGGTGAAAACAAAACCTTGGTTGAGTTTAGCTCTAGCCATCTGGCCCTGAAATGTGTTACTGTCATTTTTATCATGATTGTAGCTGGGAAATAACCCACTGAGTTAAATGACCTTTTCTCTTCCACTCATTCTCTTCTGATAAAGTTGCACCCGTCTTCCTAAAAGAGACCACATGGTATAAAATTTGAGGCAGAAGCAAGCCATATTAGCTTCCAATAAAAAAGTGTAATTCAACTTTATTAGTATGAAATATTTTAAGATAATTTATTATTTGTGATCCAAGTGTATGATTCTCAAATACGAAAGGGCTTTAACATAATCATAGAATCATTTAATAAAACCCCGAGAAAAGCAGGAAGGCACTTGCTCTTTTTGGTGTAGAGATACTGTACTTAAGATAATGTTTCGCCGGCCATCTCTTTGATGGGAGTGTGTTCTGCTTCCCTTCCGTCGGATTCCTCTCACTCAAACTCGACTAGAGGAGCTTGTCTGTTGGCCTGAGCGCCTTCTTTGTAGAGCACTCTCTTGATCGTGCCGTCCTTGGGAGCCTTTATGGTGTGCTGCAGGGACAAAGACACGGCCGGCTGTCACACTAATGAGGACCGAGCACGTACCGAAGTCAGAGTGAAAAACGAAGCCAACTGCTTTGATGTTTTGTTGTCTATCAGTGTTTCCCAACCTTGTTCATGTCACAGAACAGAGAAAATAACATGTGCATGGTGTGCCAGTGGGCGGACACACCTGCAGCCCACTCAAGGGCACCGACTAGGAAGCTCCCCACCTTCACAGTAGAATCGCGCCTGGGAAGCTTTTAAAAAGCTTTGGGCCCCTTTCTGGGAGATCCCAGTTCAACGGGTGCAGGGAAGTCGTTTTGAAAAGCTCCCACGTGTGGCTTACAAAGTGTGGCCAGGTCTGAGAACCACTGGCCTTTAATTTCCAACCACGTGAAAACCTAAAGAGCTAATTGAATGTGACTGAGGTTTTCACGTTGACACTGAGCGCTGGCACCCTAGGTTTGGCCCTGGAAAACACCCATAGCTAATACTCAGTAGGGCTACTGCCTGAATCTAAGATATTAATAATTTCATTAATTTCAGAATCAAACGACGGGTGCGATTTCACAAAATTAAAATGAGAAGAATGTTTGTTTGTTTTCTGCAGTTAATGCTTTATCAGCCCATGGCTCTTAATATGTAAAATGGCCTTAACTTACTAAATAAGGGAAAAGAACAACTAGGTCTGCTAACCGCCCACCGTTTACCTGGCAACTGACCTCACGATTGCACGTACTTACTTCCATCTTCATGGCGATCATGACCATTAGAGAATCTCCAGCTTTGACCTTGTCTCCAGCTTTTACGAACACCTAGAGGTCCAGAGGGACAAGTTAATCCTTGGAAACACAGAGGTCCTCTGTGGTCCACAGAGCTGATACACAAATGAACATAGCGGACGCATGAGTCTGCGGTTGTCCTGTCTGCCAAAGACAAAGGCACCATCGGAGACCTACAGGGCAGCCTGGCATCGCTGGCACTGTTGTCAGCGGGAGGCCCTACTTGGTTTCCCATTCCCACCCCCAAGCCATCTAGTTTTCCTTGAAGCAGAGTAATATGTCTCATATATCTTGAGACCCTTTTGTATTTTCCATGGGTGTACAGACAAGACACACCACCCATGTACATGGACAGCAGTGTGGTGATTGTGGAGGGAGGCAGGGTGGGTGGAGGTGGAAGGGGGTATAGAAGAGATAAATGGTGATGTAATAAATAAGTAAATACATACATACATACATACATACGTACCACATACATACATACATACATACATACCACCAACTGGGGAGAACTACTATACTTGAATGTCTTCACCATAGTCAGAGTAGGAGGCCTTGCTCCTCTTGTTCCTCTGTTTGTCTAGTTTTTAGGTTGTCTAGGACATAGTGTTTCAGGTCCTCTGGCCCAGTGCAGTAAATGTATAGACTATCTTCAGGTGAAAGAATTATACTTATTGGCAACCCCAGAAAAATCTCTCTATTTTCCTTTTTACATGTATAAATGAACTCCTGTAGCCCGTATGGTCTCACTGTTTGTTTTTTGTTAACAGAGTTATCAAGGATGTTTGGAAACACAGTAAACTTAGGCTCTACAGTCAAGGTGCAGAACCAAAACTATGAAAAATGAGAAGGAGCCTTGAAAGCCCCCCAAATCTGCAATGCTGGGTGAGGCCTTCGTGTCAGAGGAAACCAATGGTCTGGGTTTAGGGCCCAGTTTTGGGGAAAACATGCATCTTTACATGTAAGACCCTGTTCTGCACCCTGTTCTGCCCCCTGTGCAGCAAAGCCCACGTCCTGGGAGGCCGGTGGGGACTGAGAGTGAATGAGTTAGAGGCAGACCGGAGTCTCCAGCTCACACTGCCTCTCAGGCAAACATTTCCAGGGGTGAAGACATTTCCACTCAAACTACTTAAACAGTTTTTTCTTCTTTTTTTGAAGTGGTACCAAGAAGACACAGTTGATTTTTAAGACTTAAATGAATTTGAGGGGATGCTACTACATTCAAGTATTTAAAAGGAGACTTCTGACCTATTACCACTTGAGGGTACATCAGTATGGATCTCAACTCTGGATACATACTGCACTCAACACCAAACCACATTGTTCTCCACCAATACCAGTCTTCCACATTTTAACACTGATGCAGTTAGTACATTAGAGAAAATGTCACTATTCATGATAAATTGTTGTTAAATTTAACAGTACAAAACAGTCCTTTTGCCCTGGCCGGTGTGGCTCAGTTGGTTGAGCATCAAGGTCACCACTTCGATTCGTAGGCAGGTCACATGCCTGGTTTGTGGGCTTGATCCCCAATAGGGGGCATGCAGGAAGAAGCTGATTGATGTATCTCTCTCTAGTTGATGTTTCTCTCTCTCCCTCTCCTTTCCTCTCTCTCTCTTTAAAAAAAAGTCAATGAAAACATGTTTTAAAAAGACAGCCCTTTTGAATAATGCTTGGTGAATACTCTTATTTTAATCATAACAAGACAATTTAAATTATTTGTACTTTTATGGAAATTCCCATTTTCAAAATTTTTGTTAACAGTGTTTATTGTACATTAGGTAAATTGGTATTATCACTGATGACTGTAATATAGAACTTGAATCTATCATAGAGTCCCTTGATTTCTTGGAATGAATGCTTTCCAATGAGTGACATTTAGAGAGGAGAAAAAGAACATATATGGCATAGTTCAGCAAAGACGTCTATTGGGCCTTATTGGGCATTATTCTGCACACGTTCGCATGGTTACCTTCTCAATGGTTCCAGTCATGGGCGCTATTGCTCCTCCCTGAGTTCCTTCTGAGCTCACTGACAAGTATTTGGGGACTGGAATGTCAAACTGAACAGTTCCTTCCTATAAACAGGAAACAAACCAGAAATGAAACCAATATCTTGTTCCTGTAATTTTACTAATATACCTGACGTGATTATTTTCAAGCTATCTGTTAAATGTTAGTCATCTTTAACACCAGGGTTCTAATCCAGCTTTGTGACCTTGAGAAAATTACTAAACTCCTTGGTTTTGGTTCCCATTATGCAGGGGTAATGGTATACAAGCCTCAGAGGGGATGCAAGGGATTAAGATATATCACTGTTGGTAAAAGACAGCCACTGTCTGGAAGCTATTTTTAGTAACATCTCCGCCATCAGGTGCTTCGTCTGAGGGAGGAACTGTTCTTAATAATTATATTTATATAATTGTCACAATAACCTTATGAGGTAGGTATTGTTATTATTCCTGTTTATAGATGAGGGAACTGAAGACCAAAGTCACACAGCTGCTCAGTGGTTTGAATTTGAATGAAAGCAGCTTCATATTCCAGAATGTCAGCTCTTCGCCACTCACTATCCTGCCCCTCCCATCATAGGGTCACAGCACACTGACGACAGGAAGGAATGCCTGGCAAAGTGAGAACATCCTCGACTCCATAGACGTTACTTCATCACTAAGGGCGCCTCCTCACTAAGGACTGTGATCTGTGAGATGGTTCCCACATGTGAGAAGACTGAAGAGACCACAGTATAGTTGATAACCCATGCGGAACCCTAAGGTCTCTTGATAAACTTCTAGCCAAATCCATGCAAAGCCTGCCTCAATCATCTGCCAAGAGAACACCTCTCACCCCACTCCCTTCCTACTGACCACCTTGCCCACAGGGAACATCTGGTCCAGCTCCTCTCCCAATGGCCACCTCCTCCCAAATCCCCAGGGTTTCAAGTATCAGGAGGATGGCGGTTGGGGAAAGGGTTAAGGTATCAAATCCCTGAGAGAACAGGCCCACTGAGCAGGGAGATATTCTGACAAGAAGGGTGTAAGGACATGTTTCAGAATTAAAGGAAGAAAATGAGTATGTGTCTATCAATGAGAATCTGTGTGAACAAAAGAAGAAGAGAAGGCTGGAATATGGCAAAGAAACAGAGCGGAGAGGGAAACACAGAAGAGATTGAAGGAAGTGGGTCTTTCTAATCCCCTTGTCTCTGGTCAAGCAATTTTCTCCCAAACACCAACAGAGTTATTACAAAGAAGAGAACTTACCACAGAAAATAGGTAAATTGTGTTTTCCAGGATAATTAACTTAGTTTTACTAGAAACTCCATTTATAGAACATTTCAAGTAAGTACAGTCTCCCTCACTATGAAGATCACCAAGGACTTGGAAAGTTTTATCTCCAATCTGAAAAAAGAAGAAACAGAGAAGATCCTTAAAGTAAATGAACAATACTACATAATTAATACAATCAGAATTCATTTCAAAAGGTAACAGGTCAAATGTTTTTTTTTTAAAAAAAGTCACGTAGAAACTTTCCCCTTAAGATTCATAAACGAAATGCTCTAGGTAGAAATGTAGTAAGATAATGAAAGGAAAGCATAGTTACATGACATATTCATAGCACTCACAATGCCACAGATAAAGGTTCATGCAAGAAGAGCAATACACGTGAAATAGAAGTATAAATCAAACAAAATTATTAAAATTTTGTTGGATATATATATATGTATATAAAACATGTTTGCATTCATTTCTGAGTTTCCAAAGTCAAGTTTAGTTTTCCTGTGCCAAAGTCAGTAGTGAAAAAAGCCAGAACCACATAATTAGATGGTATTTCTTTTATCTCACCAGCATGTAGATCGTATTTATGGGTTTCAGTTATGATTTAAGAAGATAAGTTAGCTGGATACTGATCACAATTTTCTCTAAGAGAGAGAGTTCCAAAGAACAGATTTTACACTTAATCTTTCAAGGCAGCTGGCAAAAGGACATGAAACCATTCTGTTTTAAAGAATGTTTTCTCTCATATATACTCAAACAAAATTCCCCTTACATACAGAAAATCCATTTAAATCTCTCTCTTTATTTTTCATCTCAATTCCCCTGATGTTAGTGTCAAAATCCCGCAGCTACTCTTTTCAAATATATTATGTAGGCTAAGGTGAAATAGGTTATACTGCAGTATTTATACACTGCTTTCATCTATCCTAAATTAAATATGCGTTGTAACCCACTCAAACGGCCATTTGAAACTTGGCAAAATTCTCAGGACATAAAGGTTAGATTGGGAACAGTTTTGTTTAAAGATTTACAATAGCACATTGTAAATTTGTGAATGTAGTTCCACGAGCAGATTAGAACAAATCTGCCAATTTACCATTTGTCAAGGGACAAAAAGGGGTCCCCAGACCAGTATTATATAAAATTTATTATATAATATTTAAAATACTTAGAAAATTCTCAATGTTGGGATATTGAATGGCACAGAGACTCCCCAGATACCTTTAGGAAAACGAAGTTATTTTAAAAAGGGAATGAAGAGTCACAGGGGGGTAAAGTACAGCACAGGGAACACAGTCAATAACATAATATTATAATAATGCTGTATGGTGCCCGATGGGTACTAGGCTTATCAGGGTGATCACTTTGTAAGTTATCTAAAAGTCTAATCACTTTGTTATATACCTAAAACTCATATGATACTGTATGTCAAATGTAATTGAAAAATTTAAAAGAGAAAAAAGGGAAAAAAAAGTACCAATATGAATTACAACTCTTATAATTAAGTGAGGTAGACTTCCCATAATTTTTCTGACAGATAGAAAGAAAACCACTGTGTCTCTCCAAATGTTGGGCAGTCTAAAGCTTATCATTAATAAACCCATTTTGCAGGATTTGAAACCTCTTAGGTCTTATTAAAACTAGAGCCCGGTGCACGAATTTGTGCACCAGTGGGGTCCCTCGGCCTGGCCTGCGGGATCGGGCCAAAACCGGCTCTCCAACATCCCCCAAGGGGTCCAGGATTGTGAGAAGGTGAAGGCCAGGCCAAGAGACCCCACCAGTGCACGGGGCCAGGAAGGGATGCGGGAGGTTGGCCAGCCAGGGAGGGACTGTGGGAGGGCTCCAGGGTGTGTCTGGCCCATCTCGCTCAGTCCCAATCAGCCGGATCCCAACAACAAGTTAACCTACCGGTCAGAGCGTATGCCCCCTGGTGGTCAGTGCACGTCATAACGAGCGATTGAGTGACCTTAGCATATCATTAGTATATCACACTTTGATTGGTTGAACGGCCGACAGGATGACCGGACACTTAGCATATTAGGCTTTTATTATATAGGATGATTTATTCAATTCTCTGAATTTGTACCTTACTATGGGAATTTGCTTGAGTTCTCACATTGTTGTTTAACTCCTTCAGCATTTCATTTTGCCAGTGTAATGGACTTCTTTTACTTGAGGGCTAGTATAAAAATTTTGACTGAAGATTCTCAAAGAATGACCTTGGATCACTTGGGGTTCTTTCAGGGGATCCATGAAATAAAACTATTTCATAATAATACTAGTGTAATTTGCCTTTTTAACCCACATTCTCTCATAAGTATACAGTGGAATTTTTAGAGATGCAAAGCATGCGATAATGTTATCACTCTGTGACAATGGAATGTGTACTTGTGTAATCTTAGGCTCTAAACTTGTCTCAATTTATCCTACAACTCAACAATAAAAAAAAAATCTGATTTTTAAAAAATGGGCAAAGGACTTGAACAGACATTTCTCCAAAAAAGATAGACAAATGGCCAATTAGCACATGAAAAGATGCTCGACATCATCAGCGGTTTGGCTCAGTGGATAGAGCGTCGGCCTGCAGACTCAAGGGTCCTGGGTTCGATTCCGGTCAAGGGCATGTACCTTGGTTGCGGGCACATCCCCAGTGGGGGGCGTGCAGGAGGCAGCTGATCGATGTTTCTCTCTCATCGATGTTTCTGGCTCTCTATCCCTCTCCCTTCCTTTCTGTAAAAAATCAATAAAATATATTTAAAAAAAAAAAAAAAGATGCTCGACATCATCAGCCATCAGATAAATGCAAATCAAAACCATAATGAAATACTACTTTACACCCATTAGGATGGCTTTATAAAAAGAAGAAAAAAAAGCTGGCAAGAATGTGGAGAAACTGGAACCCTTGTGCACTGTTGGTGGGAACGTTAAATGGTGCAGCCGCTATGGAAAACAGTATGGTAGTTCCGAAAAAAATAAAAAGATAGGACTACCATATTTATGATCCAGCATTTCTACTTCTGGGTATATGCCCAAGAAAATTGAAAACAGTCTCAAAGAGATATCTGTACCCCTATGTTCATAGTAGCATTATTCACAATAGCCTAAAGGTGGAAACAACCCAAGCACCCATCAGTAGATGAATGAATAAAAAAAATGTGGTCAATAAAATATTAGTCAGCCGTAAAAAGGAAGGAAATTTGGACACACGATACAACATGGGAGACCCTTCAAGACATTATGCTAAGTGAAGTAAGCCAGTCACAAAAGGACAAATGCTGAGTGGTTTCGCTTATATGAGTCACCCAGCAGCCAAATTCATAGACACACAAAGCAGCATGGCAGTTGCCAGGGGCTGGGGGAGGAGGAGCATGGTGCTTGTTTAATGGGTATAGCGTTTGAGTTTTGCACGAGGAGAATGGTTCTATGGATGGATGGTGGTGACGGCTATACAACAATGTGAATGCAATGCCACTGAACTGTACACTTAAAATGGTAAATTTTGTTACTTATATTTAAAAATACACATCAAAATAATTAAAAATGTTCTCAGTTTAATTTCCCGTACAGTAAAAATTAATAGATGTAACGAATACAAACAAAGCTCTTTAGGGAGTTTCAGTGATTTTTAAGAATGTACAGGGGTCCTGAGACCAAAAAGTTTGAGAACTGCTGCTTTAGATATAAATATGTCCACACACTTCAGTGTCTGATTCAAAGCTATTATATTTTGCCAACTTTTGAATCACAGCCAAACTGAGTACACAGTCAGAAAATGTATAGGGGGTAGTTTCCTCAAATTGGTCTGAAATAAAAGCACATGATATTCCCTTAGTAGACATAACAGTCAGTGGCTTAAGAGAAACCGGAGAGCATAAAAAGACCATTCTTAGTATGAGAGAGATCAGATGTAGAACAAAACCAGTAAGGCTTACCTGCATGCTATATGACCCATCCTGGTTGTATGTTACAGCGATGGCTACATCTTCAGAGGATAAAAATTAAACAAAATTAGAAGACCTTCATTTATTCAGTAACTGAGATTCCAAGAATCTGACTTTCAACATAAAGATAACTAGCTGTTAGGGATAGCAACATCTGTTAACTCCCTGGCAATAAAGATTAAAAAACAACAACAAAAATACAACTTAGGCAGGTTTCAAAAAAAGGTGAATTTCAAACTTTTCCTTTTTAGAAATGGTGTTTTAGCTTTTTAGGACTGTAGGCTATTTTAGATATTTTTTTTCACTATAAGAAAGGCTGCATTGTTATAGTAAAAACTGTAATTAATTGGGAAAAAGAAATTCTGGTTTAAGATCCAAATCTGCCATCTGTGTGGCACGATCACCTCTGTGATCTTGACTAAGTCACTTAAAATCTCCGGGTCTTGGTTTTCTAATCCATTTGACCCATTAAATGGATGAGATGTAACAATGATGACATCAGTGTGAAAGTATAAACTGCAACAGACTATACAGATATAATATACAATATATTCATTATTATGTGACTATAGAATTGGTTAAAGACTAGGAGATGGAAATTGAAACTTTTGTGGGCTAGAGAATGAAGACCAAAGTCATTCCATCTAGTCCTGAGACTTCAACCATCATGTTGATGCCACCAGCTCCTATCTGTCCCCAGTCTTTCTGCAGAACTCTAAGTCATGTCCAGCTAAATGTTCCATCCGTACTTTAAAATGAACATAGTGTGTCCAACAAATCCTCTCCCGCCTCCGCCTGCTTTCCCTCCTGCCCTGTGAGCGCCACGACTGGCAATGTTATTCCCCTTGCCATCCTGGTTTAAAACCTGTCATTCTTACCTTCTCCTTTGCTTTCTACTTCCAACCGCCACCACAGCACTGCCAAAGTCTTCCCTTGGATGCCTGGACCACCCATTTCTTGCGCCTGCCCCTGACTCGGACAGCGGCCTCAGGCCTGGCTGACCTGAGGAGGTCCTGCCAGGACTTCCTGCTCCCTGTCCCAAGCCTCCCAGCTGATTCCTAGCATGTCCCCACCACAGTAAAAACACTTGGCTTCGTATTGAGAGCACCAAACGCTGTCATATTTCCCGCCATTCTTCCACACAGCCCTGTGTCCGACCAAATGGGAAAATGGGCCAATTCACATTCTCCAGGTGCCTCTATCCTTCTCCTCTCTGTGCCCTTTGCCCAGGCCCCTCCCACTGACCCCCACCCCTCCTCCACATTGTGCTCACTGGGGAAGAGCCTGCCTGGGGGGATGAATCCTCTCTCCTCTGTACATTTAGACGTCTACATATAAACACCATACGGATTCTCCCCTCAGCAGGGTATGATAGAGTGGTTTTTCTCTTTATCAATTGTTTTAAAAAACTGCAAAAATAAAAATGTTCACGAGGCCTAAAAGTCCTCCCGATTGCCCAGATGTCAGTCCTATTAAACGCTGGAACGTGTGGATGCTTTCGGGCCTTTCAGAATACACATGCAGGTTTGTATTTTTCTTTTATAAAAATAGGACATTGCCATACATGTTGTTCTGCAACCAACTTTATTGTAGTTAACATGTGACATACAGACCTACTTTGTTCTTTTAACAGGAGCAAGGGAATAGTTTAAAATAATAATGAGGATGATGATGACAGCTGATGTTTGTTGACTGCTTGCTACATGCCATTCAATGAGCTAAGTGCTTTACACATGCTGTTTCATTTAGTATGTACAACACCACAAGGAAGTGACTGCCGCTGCCATGCCCAGTTACGGCGGAGGACAGTGGATGCTTACAGAGCACGTGACTTGCCCAAGGGCCACAGAAAACAAGCGAGCCAGATTCAAACCCATACGGTCTACCTCCAGGGCCGCACCATTACCACTACGCCATCCTGCTTCCCAACACACCCTTCTCCTTTGCCAAGTGGCAAATTCCTTAAGAGAAAAACATAGGAGCAAAGACACCTTTTATCTCTTCTTCACGTTGTTCAGAATATTTATTGTTTCATAAACTTTGTCCTGAACGTATAAACTTCTCTATCCTGTATCTTGTCAATAACTTTAACTCTTTTTAAGAGAAAATGCAGGGGTCAGGGGAAGGGAGGGGAGGGGAGATATAGATGCTAGGAAGCTGTCACACTGCCAGCTTTGACGACAGGAAGACAGAGGGGCCCCGAGTAAACTAATGCAAGCCGCCTCTAGAAATTGGAAAAGGAACCAATTCTCTCTTTGAGCCTCCAGATGGAGCACAGGCCTGCCAGCACTTTGATTTTAGGGCCCCTGACCTCCAAACTGTAAATTTGTGTCATTTTAAACCATTAAGTCTGTGGCAATCTGTTACAGCTGCAAAAATAAAATAAAATAAAAAATCACATCTTCAAAGCCTTCCTATTCATTCTGCCATCAGGAAGATCATTTTGACTTGAATACTGGATTTTCTTATTACCTTGCCTACATTGTTCTCCCCAGGATTAAATCAAAATGCTGGCATATCACATAAAGCTCCTTAGTCTCGGCCCCTACCCGTCCCCCGGTCTCATCAACCACCACTCTCCCTAGGAATACTCTGCTTCCCATTTAGCGGACGTTCTTGATTTCCCAACATTCCACACTCTTTCCAGAAGCTGTGACTTCTGCCCCAAGGATTTTCCTCCGCATTATTTAGCAGGCCCATCTCTACTCATTCTTAATGTATTAAATCTATCATTACCTTTTCTGCAAAGCCTTCCCTGACTTCCTCAATCAGGATGCAGACCCTCTCTTTAAAGATCCCATAAAACCTGTATTTGCAGAGTATATTACACATTTTCCCGTGAAAATCTGCCTCCAACTACTCTGTGAGCTTCTCGAGGGCAAAGATCATGGCCCTCTATTGGTTTATGCCCCTTTCCGAGTAAATATTAAGTACTCAGAGCTACTGAATAAGTGAATGAATATGTACTTTAATGTTCTTTTAATCATAATACAAGCTTTCCAGTTCACCCTTATATACATTTTTATCTTAAATCCTGCCAATATTCTCATTTATCATTTTGTCTTTAAAGTGTCCTTACATACTTAAACACAATTATTATTCTAGTTAAAAAAAAGAGAGAAAATGCATCTCATTATCCCAGATCAGTTTTCTTTCAATTTATAAAATATGAAGTCTTTTAATAACATGAATGCCCATAGAATCACAGTAAAGACATCACCAGAAAAAGTCTAAATTCTTTTATGTATAGTAGGGTAACTCAACCTGTTCCCCTCTCCCCTAGATATCTCTTGACCGCCCACAAGAGAATCTTAAACACCTCTTATGTATTTAATAAGGTATGAAAGTTTAACATGATGCAGTGTTAGGTAAGCACATGCACCTTGAAGTCTGCGTTCAAATTCTGGCTCTACCAATTCCTTTTGGTGTGATTTTAAGGAAATTATCATTCTCTCTAAGCCTTTTGCAAAGGTTTTATAAAGTTGAGACTAATAATAACACCAATTTCATTGGCCTGTTCTGAAAATGCAAAAGAAATAATTCATGGAAGGTGCTTAACACAATAGCTCACATACACCAAACAATAAGTCTCAGCTATTATTCTTATTATTATTGAGGGCAGGGCAGGGTTCTGTGAAACATGGCCACTAGTAACAAGGTGAGAATATCTTTCAAGTCTTGATTATTTGAAATACTTGGCCATTCTCACTGAGACCATTAAGAGCTGGTTCTACTTTATATTCATAAATGCTTCTGGGCCCTTGGGCTTCTTGTTTGGTGCACTCTCATTCAACCACAGTCACTGCGGATTAGTATAACATTTCTGAAAACTGTGACATGCGGACCTGGGTTATTGTTGAAAAATACTGCCAAAAGGAAGTAGTGAACAGCAATTATGTTGGCTCTTCAATTATATTTATTTTTAAAAATAAAAATAAAAATCCAAGAAATGCAATATAATTCAAAACACTGCTCGGTGCCTCAGTGAAGATCCATGCCAAATAACACAGTTGGCTCATCTGAATTATAATCACACAGGCTATTTTTCTGTTTAATTTAGATTGAAGAGGCCACTTGAATTTTATTGCTGCTGATACTGTATTCAGCATATTCAGCCTAGTGTAAGATACTTTCTCATTTGGGAGGCTGTTTTTTAGGATGAAATGAATAAATAAATACACCCGCATAAAATGGATAGCTTAACCATTTGCAGAATGTTACTCTACAAGGGATGTTTGCAAACTTCCTTTCCAAGCACTCCGTGCACTTAAGGTAATGACCATCTAGGCTCAGGATGAAAAGATATCTAAAGAGCTGTAACCCAGTCAACTGTGTAAACAAGGAATTTGTTAAGAAGTGAGTGGATGTCTACATAGAACTGGGATAGAGAGGAGGGTGCTGTGATGAGCTGGCAGGAAGATTCTGTTCTACCTGATAGGCACGTTTTATAATGGAGTTGTCACAGGTCAAGGATACCTCACCTTCAAGGTTACCCAGTCCTTCCTGCTCTGACTGCACCCCTCTGGCTTCCCATGCAAACTGTATTGCAGCAGAAGGCATATAGCCACCAGCTATTACATGATTCTGGTCCCTCTGGTACACTGTTCCAGCCCAAATTTTGTGTCAGCCTCTCCTAACTTCAGTTACAATAAATCAGCTCCCACCCTGAACCTACTCAAATCAGTGTGCAATCAAAAATCAATTTGCCGTATAGGGGGTAACGTGGGGATAAGGACACATATGTAATATCTTAATCAATAAAAATATTTTTAAAAAATCAATTTGCCACTGGAAAAGTGGTGGAAATAGCATAGGAATCAGGGTCAGAAAGATTAGGTGTCAAACATTGGCTCTGCCACTTACTAGTCTTGAATAAGTTATTGCACCTTCCATGCCATCGTTTCATCAGCCATATGTGGCTATAACAGTGACTCCCCTTATTAAATTGTGAAGATAAAATTTACATGTGATAAGGCACTTAATAATAAATTACATTTCTTTATTAACCCACTTCCACCTTAGATACTGCCTGAATAGTGGGTAATCTTTCTTGTTTAGAGTTTTGGATATTGTTTTTCTTATTTAAAGGAATACATTCTCACCCTGGTTGGGTATTCACTGGTTAGAGCATCGGCCTGCGAACCAAAGGCATGTGCCTCTGTTGCAGGTTCGATCCCTGGCCTCAGTCCTGGTCGGGCATGTGTGGGAGGCAACCAATTGCTCGCTCTCTCTCTCTCCCCATCTCCCTCTTTCTGTCCCTCCTTCCTCCATCCCTTCCACTCTCTTTAAAAATCAATGGAGTGATTTAAAAAAAAATCCATTGAGGATTAAAAAAAAAAAAGTAATACATTCTTGGGAGGGAAAAGAAGGGTAAAAAAAATAAAATATAAAAGTATTGCATTCTCACTGAAGAAATATAAAGCAAAGAAAGTACAAAGAAGCATGGGGGGGAAAAGACGGCCTCAAATCCCACCACCCAGTAGTAACCTCACTAAAATGTTGGCAAATTTTACTTTAGTCATTTTGCTATGTATGTTTTATAACATATTTTTAGAATATTTACAAAACACAGAAAAAATGTAATGAAGAAAAAAAAATCAACTCTACCACCCAGAGCAAATCAATTCTATCATTTTGGCATACTTCCTCACAATGTTTAGGCCAGGGATCTTTGAAAAATATATAATTGAATGACTGTGGCTGAGCTGAATCCATTTTTTCCCAGGTAAATGTGATCTATTTCTATAAGGCACATTTCCCTTCTAATAAAACGTTACTTACTGTTTTCACCATCCCTAAGAGTCATGTTTCTGGTGAAAGAAATATTCAGTCTTCTTCCACTGCTGGATGCAAAAGGAGAATATTGATCTGAAAGAAAATTCAACAGCAAATTTACGAACATCAAGCCTACTAAATTTATACCTTACAAAAGAAAACAGGAACACAGTTCCTATACTGGCAGCTTGTATGTGTTTTCTTTGTTCTTCTCGTTGCTTTAAATTTAAATGAGATATTTCAATTTACATCTCAGGAGGTTGCATATGAAAACTCCCAGCTTCTCTTAAAAAGTGAGACTATGTGCAGCCTAAACTCTCATCCGTTGGTGGCATGAGCTGCACTGTGGCCATCCCTTTTGATGGGGCTACTGCATTCCAGGGCACCCAAATCTCTACCTCTCGCCATTTCCCTTTCACCTGGCCTCTCTTATTCTCCTGTTACTGGTCCACCTAGACGGGTTTGAGTGTACAGCCTCTGCTGGACAATATCCAGAAGCTACAGCATGACTAAATTGAAGCAATTTACTCTGAAGTTCCTATCTGTGCTGGTTATAAATTTTAAAAAGAGGTGAGAGTAAGAAGACACTCCATTCTAAAAAGGCTAAGAACAAGCAGGCTTAGGAATGCCATATGGAGCACACTTAGATGCATTTCATTTAATGTAACAGGACAAAATGAGGAGAGAGCACAAATCTCCTAAAGATGTAATTATGTGTTTTAAGCTTTCAATATAACTTTCTTGAATGAATCTAGAAATTAATTATTCTAAAAATAGGATCCTATAATCCTATATAATAAAACCTAATATGCAAATTGGCCGAACAGTGGAACGACCAGTCGCTATGATGTACACTGACCACCAGGGGGCAGACACACAGGGGCAGCGCTGCTCAGTCAGAAGCCAGGCTCACGGCTGGCAGCAGTGGTGGCAGGAGCCTTTCCTGCCTCCACAGCAGCACTAAGGACCCCTCGGGAGATGTCATGCAGAGAGCGGGCCTAAGCCGGCAGTTCCACATCCCCTGAGGGGTCCCGGACTGCGAGAGGGCGCAGGCTGGGCTGAGGGACACCCCTTCCCCCCAGTGCATGAATGTCATGCACTGGGCCTCTAGTAATATAATAATCCTAATAATAGTGAATAGATAATGAATTCCATTTTTTCCCCTATTACTCCAAAAGTCAGTTAGCGTAAATAAATATTATTGAGCAAGTTTGGGAGAGCTCAGGTTTTGCTCAATTTAGAGGGAAGAACTGTTTAAAGGAGAACTGACTGAAACTATAATAGGCTAGTGAATTTTCATCATGAATTTCCAGCTTCCGGGGTGTTAGGAAGTTGGACACTGACTTAGTGGGATGCTGAGGCAGCCAGTCAGGACGAACCTCTGCCTGTCTTTCCCAAGCTCCGACTCTATGACATGATGGAGTAACTAGGTCTCCAGTTAGTCAGAAATTTGATCACAGAATAAAAATAGAGCGGAGAAAATAACCATAAATCAGGGTAGCCCAGTGGAATCCGAGTGCCTCCGGGACCCGGGAAGTTGCTGCAGGTACAGAGGCTACAACAAAGCAGGCCACAGGGAGTGGTGGATAAAAGAAGTTGGAAAGGATTGGCATAGGCTGCAGCAAGCACTGGTGTTTGGTTGAAAAGAGATCCATCTCTACGTTGTTAGGTGATTAGTTAAGATATATCTAAAGGGTTAGAAGTGTTTATGGAATGTATCCAGAATATGTGAAGAGCTCTCTTCGGACTAAAAGCCACCTTAGCAGAGGATGGTGTCAATCACTGAGAGAAGAAAGGGAGGTAAGAGTGGCATAAAGAAAAAAAAGTATGGTCACTAATCCTATATAATAAAAGCCTAATATTCTAAGTGTCTGGTCGTCCAGTTGGCCGTTCAACCAATCAAAGTGTAATATGCTAATGATATGCTAAGGCTGCTCAACTGCTCACTATCACGTGCACTGACCACCAGGAGGCAGACAGTTGACCAGTCACTATGACATGCACTGACTACCAGGCGGCAGACGTTCCAACTGGTGGGTTAGCTTGCTGCTGGGGTCCGGCTGATCAGGACTGAGCGAGACAGGCCGGACACGCCCTGGAGCCCTCCTGTGGTTCTTCCCCAGCTGGCCAACCTCCCACATCCCTCCCCAGCCCAGATTGTGCACCAGTGAGGTCCCTCAGCCTGGCCTGCATTCTCTTGCAATCTGGGACCCCTCGGGGGATGTCGGAGAGCTGGTTTCGGCCCAACGGCAAAACGACGGGTTGCTATGATGCGTACTGACCACCAGGGGGCAGATGCTCAAAACAGCATCTGACCCCTGGTGGTCAGTGCTCTCCCACAGGGGGAGCGCCGCTCAGCCAGAAGCCAGGCTCATGGCTGGTGAGTGCAGTGGTAGTGGCGAGAGCCTCTCCCGCCTCCACAGCAGTCGGACATCTCCCGAGGGCTCCCTGATTGCAAGAGGGCATAGGCCGGGCTGAGGGACCCCCCGCCCCGAGTGCATGAATTTCGTGCACTGGGCCTCTAGTCCATATATATAAAAGCCTAATATGCAAAGTGTCCCCTTGGGAGTTTGACCAACTGGGAGTTCAATCGCTTGCTATGACGTGTGCTGACCACCAGGGGGCGGTGCGGAACGAAGGAAAGCCCCAGCCGGTGGCAGGCAGCTGGCAGCCACTAGGGACCCTACCTGTGCATGAATTTCGTGCACTGAGCCTCTAGTTATTCATAAAATCTTGACAAGCAGGGGAAACAGAAATGCATTCCATACCTTGTGTCTGAATTTGGAAAGCATCTGACATGGCTTTCTCCTTGAGGATGAGGCCCAGAGCTGCCTGGCATAAAAACTCTTTGGCTGTGGCCTTCCGACTGGGCAGCAGTTCTTCCCGGTGCTGAGGGATGAAGTCAGTGTGCACGTTCCCAGCTTTGAACTCCGGGTGGCCAGCCAGCCTGAGGAGGAAGTCAATGTTGGTGTGCAGTCCGACAATCTAGAAAGAGAATAAAGCCCACATCCCCAAGGAGTGGGGAAAACAACATATTCAGAAAAGCATTTGTATGGCTTCTGCTCCTTTTGCTGAGTATCTTCTACTATCGGCAATTCTCAGGCAAACAATAAAAACCCCACTTCTCCATCACTATATTCTGGACTTAACACTTAAAGCTACATCTACTATGATAAAGAGGCCACAGGAAATGGTGTTAGTGTAGGTAGTGTGGAAAGACATTTAATTGACTTGGATTAAGAAAGTGATAAACGTTAAGAAACTTAAATGAAATTTATTGGCAAGTCTTTGAAGACCTGCCACTCAGAACACTCCACAGCAGAAGGCACGATTACTACACTGGGGAGGGGATTGGGTGAAATTACCTCAAAAGAGGTTCTAACACTAAAATCCAAATTTTACATACTGATATGAAAATAAAAAGGTATAAAACATAACCCAGTAAACGGAATCAAGGGTAAAGCCAGCTATCTGGGCCTCGAGTTTGTTCATTTGTTTGTTCGTTCATTCATTCATTCGCCATATACGGAGCACCTTTTAGGTGCCAGATCCTCATCAAGATACTGGGGACACGCCCTAACTGGTTTGGCTCAGTGGATAGAGTGTCGGTCTGCAGACTGAAAGGTCCCAGATTCGATTCCGGTCAAGGGCATGTACCTTGGTTGTGAGCACATCCCCAGTAGGGGGTGTGCAGGAGGCAGCTGATCGATGTTTCTCTCTCATCGATGTTTCTAACTCTCTATCCCTCTCCCTTCCTCTCTGTAAAAAATCAATAAAATATATTTTAAAAAAAAGATACGGTGGACACAGTGAAGAACAAAACACACAAAGTCCTTGCCTCACAGAGCCTACATTCTAGGAAAAGATAATAAACAATATCTATAAAAAAATTCTAATATAATGTCAGGTGATATGAAGAAAAATAAGGCTGTCTAAGGGGACAGAGAACAGCAAAGGGTTCTATTTTATTTTATTTTTTACTACAGGCCCGATGCACGAAGTTCGTGCAAGAGTAGGCCTTCCTTCCCCCGGCTGCCGGCACCAGCTTCCCTCTGGCACCCAGGACCTGGGCTTCCCTCTGGCCACCAGCAGGCACCTGGGACCCGGGCTTCCCTCGCAGCCCCGGCTTCGTCCGGAAGGTCCGGAAGGACGTCTGGTCTAATTAGCATATTACGCTTTTATTATTATGTATTTTATTGATTTTAGAGAGAAGAAGGGAGAGGGAGAGGGAGATAGAAACATCAATGATGGGAGAGAATCATTGATCATCTGCCTCCTGTTTACCCACTACATGTCCCCTACTGGGGATCAAGCCCACAACCAGGCCATGTGCCCTGACCGGGAATCAAACTGTGACCTCCTGGTTCATGTGTCGATGAGCCACACCAGCTGGGTAAAGAATCTTATTTTAAATGTGACAGCCTTGACATGACTCTGAGGAGGTGAGCAGTGCCTGAGGGTGGTGGGAGGGAGCCCTGTGATCATGTGTGCGAAGAACATTCTGGAGAGAAAACAGGAACACATGGCACAATGCTGTGTGTCTAAAGAATGGCAAGGAGGTCAGTGTGGTTGGAGCCACAGAGATCAGAGGTTTTTAATGACATATAATAATTAGAATATCATGGGTTAAAGAGCAATCCTTCCGTGAAGCTAAATCAGCTGGTACAGGAGTTACTGCACCAAGAAAATGAATGTGCTACAAAACAGCAACAAACGATGAAATGGATAAAACTGAACATCATTATTTTCCTTTGGAGAAAATAATACCAACTGTAGGCCACACTTGTATAGCGACCACGCTCCCGTGGTGTAGTGGTTATCACGTTCGCTCACACACATGTGGAGCTGGCCTTACCTACAGGATCAAGAGGAATTTCCTATCGATTTCCCTGAAGTATAACACGGACCCTAATAGTTTCAGTCCTGCAAGCTTTCATTTCCAGCTGGAGTCAAGAAGTCCTCAAGCCCATGGGAATTCTCCCACATAAAATGAATCTGATCGTGACATATGGGCGGCTGGTGGAAATAAGTTGACAAAGACAAAGGCTGACCACTCCTGACAGACGTGCTTGGCTGTGGAGATACAGAGAGCATGAGGGTCACCAACACGGCCGTCTCACTCACGTGGTACTGACGAAGGCTGTACCTCAGCTTGGTCAAGGCCGCCTGGCGATCTGCAGCCCACACGACCAGCTTTGCAATCATGGGGTCATAATGCACTGACACTTCATCCCCTGGAATTGAAAAAACCACAACAACCTCTCAAAGTCAAAACCAAAGGGATACAATGTGACAGCAAGACGTTCTGCTGTGGCTTTATGTACATTTCACACCCAATCCTCACAGACCTCATGACAGATATGGCCCCCACCATTTTATTCATGAGGAACTGAAGCTCACGGGGTTTAAAAACTTATCAAATGTCCAAGGAGGGTGTGGCCATCCTGTCCGTTCAAAACCATGACCCAATGACACCCAGGCCGGTTTCCCCATCCTATCTTCTTCTTGAAAGTCAGAACAAACTCCCTCTACCTCTCATATCTCAATTGCCCTGCCCTCAGCATTCCCTTCCCTCCACCGTTTCCCTCATCAGACAAATGAGGGTAACCATTCCTCTGTCCTGTGGTTGCTGGGAGGACTGACAATAAAGTGCCAAATGCTGTACCTGGCAGAGCTGATAAACAAACAGCAGTCATCATACGAATCTCAATCACTGGTTAGAAACTAGATCAAGGCAAAAGGCTGTGGTATGTTACAGACTACTGTTCTAGACCCTTGTTGTGATTTTGACAGGTCACTTGATGCCTCTAAAACCCAGGGTCTCCAGATGCAAAACCAAGGGGTTGGATTACACTCCCTTATCCATCCATCCACCCCACCCCCACTCGCCCACCAACACATAGTGAACACCTTGTAGGCCTAGACTTAAGCAAGGTGCTGCAAATATACCATAGAAGACGGTCCCTCCCTTAAGAATCTTACAGTCTGATGGGAAAATAGGCAAGGAATAGGTTACCATAGATAATAAGATAAGGGCCAGGTCTGAGGGATGCACGGGACACAGAAGGGGAGTCCTGGGAGAAGCTTCCTGGACTAGGTTATCCCTCCCAGTGTCACGATGTGACCGTGGGAGCACGTCTCAGAATTACATCTCTTATCCTTTGAGCCCTCTTATTAAGTTACACTGCAAGCTTTGCTGGCCCTACAGGTTTTTTTCTTTTCTATTGCAAGGCCCCTCTTTTCTTTCCAAGATATTCTGCTGTGAAGTTAAAAATGTACTGACTACCAAATCTTGCTGTGGCTTAGGCAAGAGCTATCAACATGTTGCCAATGTATCATCAAGAAGCCCCAATTCCTCATTTTGGCTTTCAAGACCCATACGATTTGCTCTCAACCTATGTCTGTCTCCAGCCACATCTCCAACTACTTACCATCCTACACCATTTTCCCAGCCACATATTTTCTTACAGTTCTTCAAGTTCACTTTTCTTTAATGTGTTACATCTGCCTACTCAAATCCACGCTAGATTTCCTCTTTTAAAAGTGTCTCACATTAGCTCTTAGTCCTAGAACTGCTATCATTGCTCTGCAAATGAAGTTAAGGTGGCAACAGACGGTGGTGGCTCAGAGCACAGACTCTGGAGCCAGACTGCCTGGGTCTGAGTCATGGTTGCAAGGGTGATCCTGGGCAAGTCACGTAACTTCTCCGTGTCCTGGTTTCATCATCTAGAAAATGGGGGTGAGAACACCTACTCATAGGACAGTGCTCCAGGTTAAAGAAGACTGTATGAAAAGTCACCTAGAACAGCACCTGCACGTAAGTGCTAAACGGCTGTTAGCTGTGACCATCGTTACTGATCAACGCTGAACTGTGATAGCTCTTGTGCTGTTAGTTTTTACTTTTAACTTCTTTTATTATTGTTTAGCTTGCACTAAGTTTTCATATTAATTCTCCAGCTTGACTTGAAGGCAGAGTGCCTTACACATAGCGAATATCAGTCACCTTAAATCATGTTTGGAACCAGGCAAAGTAAAAAATATAAAACAACACACACAAAATACTTATTGCTTAAGTTTGATCAAGTACGGCTGCATTTGAAAAAAGAGCCTATTGATTAAACTACTAGTCATTCCTTAAAAATAACTATTACAGAAGGGAAAAAAATTGCTGCGAAATCAATTAAATCCTTTATTTTAAAACATACTAGACATTCCCACAAGACACAAGGAAAAGACCCCCATCCAAAAATAAGAATGCACTAAAAGTTAAAAAGACTTTCTGTGTTATTTCCGCTTACCTTGCCGCACCCCGGTTTCAATCCTCGTGGAAAGGTCCGCGGGAGGGGTGGCGAGATGCACCAGTGGTCCGGCCCCCGGCATGAAGTTATTGTGAGGGTCTTCTGCGTATATTCTAGCTTCAAACGCGTGGCCCCGGAGAGTTATTTCTTCCTGGCTCAAAGGAATCTTCTCTCCTGCTGCAACCTGGTGACAGAAGAGTATGTACTTCTTATAAAAATCCACCTTAAAGCAGCTATGAGACTAGCAAGTTGATGGTCTTGCCTTTTTTATGGAAAATGTACATTTGGACTTCACAATGAAGCCACATAAAAATTATTATTTTATCCACTGCCTCGAGTATTGGGCAGAAAGAAGATATTTAAAAAACAGATGCAGCTTGCCCAGCTGTGAGCATCAACCTATGAACCAGGAGGTCACAGTTCGATTCCTGGTTAGGGCACATGCCTGGGTTGTGGGCTCAGTCCTCAATAGGGGGCATGCAGGAGGCAGCCTATCAATGATTCTCTCGCATCATTGATGTTTCTACCTCTCTCTCCTTCTCCCTCTCTGAATTCAATAAAAATTAAAAAACAAAACAAAACAGAGGCAGCTTGAAAATAAAGTATTAATTACAATGGGCTTCTAGAGTTTTTAAATAGAAAATGCAAGCAAACTGCTGACTAAATTATAAATATAAAATCAGTGTTATTTTCTATATAATTGAAACTAAGATTTCTTTCTGGCACCATGCTCTCAGTTTTCATCTTAAAACATTAGCATTCAGTTACAAAATCAATCTTTTTTTAAAAAAAATAGTAAATTATCTGTTGGTGTTCACAGCTATAGGTAAAGTGTAACATTAGACATCTTTGTAATTTTAATCAGCAAGTGAGTGATAAAGCAAAACAGAAAGGGGAACATCATGGTTTTTCAATTATTTTATTATGTTTATGTTTATGTACATTGCATAGCACTAGATTATAAACAGAAAAAGGCTATTGGAAGACTTGCTGCCACACTTTCCCTTTAAGTTTTCCTCCAAGATGAGAAAATGACAACCTGAGAAAGCAAAAGCTACAGGGAAAAATCTCTAAGTAACTTAGTATCACATTGAACTAAACAGATAAGCATAAAACAGAAGCAGGTTCCATCTCTTTAAATATGTAAATAAGGAAAATCAGGAACCACAGCAGTTAGGAATAAAAGGAAAGCGGACAGAACTGAATGTCTTTATGGCACGGTGTTTCAAACCACAGACTCTGCAGCCATATTCCCTAGGAACCTTTTATCCTCGGTGATTTCAAGAATCTAGACCAGGGGTGGGCAAACTTTTTGACTCGAGGGCCACAATGGGTTCTTAAACTGGACCGGAGGGCTGGAACAAAAGCATGGATGGAGTGTTTGTGTGAACTAATATAAATTCAAAGTAAACATCATTACATAAAAGGGTACGGTCTTTTTTTTTTTTAGTTTTATTCATTTCAAACCGGCAGGATCCGGCCCACAGGCCGTAGTTTGCCCACGGCTGATCTAGACTCTTTTGGGTTATTGCTTCAGAAAAAAAAATCTTCCTTTTCCTTGAATTGTGGAAACATAAGCAGTCTTTCTAGAAGTTTCTAAACCAACTGCACTTTTCCTGATACCCACGAACACTAACTAGCCTGGTTTTCATTAGCTCCCAAGGCTATAGAGGCCCAGAAGAGTCTCTTGGCTCAATTAAAACCACCCATCAACCCCAAGGAAATTGAAAAAGCAGCATATTGTCCACAGAAGTTCCAAAAAAACCAAAATTATCAAAATAATCAAGACTTTAGCATCACAATATGAAAAAAACAATTTAGATTCAGGTTATACTGTATATAAAGAACCAAGAATCCCACAGAGATTGACTATTCATCATATGACTTAAAAAACTTTTTTAAAAAAGAAGGCTGATGCACAGCAAAAGAAACCATCAACAAAACAACAAGAAAGCCCACTGCATGGGAGAACATATTTGCCAATATTATCACCGATAAGGGTTTAATCTCCAACATTTACAGGGAACTCATACAACTTAACAAAAGGAAGATAAACAATCCAATCAAAAAATGGGCAAAGGACCTAAATAGACACCTTTCAAAAGAGGACATTCAGAAAGCCAAGAGACATGAAAACATGCTCGAAGTCACTAATCATCCGAGAAATGCAAATCAAAACAACAATGAGGTACCATCTCACACCTGTCAGAATGGCTATCATCAACAAATCAACAAATGACAAGTGCTGGAGAGGATGTGGAGAAAAAGGAACACTCGTGCACTGCTGGTGGGAATGCAGACTGGTGCAGCCACTATGGAAGACAGTATGGCGTTTCCTCAAAAAACTAAAAATGGAACTCCCATTTGACCCCGTGATCCCACTTCTAGGAATATATCCCAAGAAACCAGAAACACCAATCAGAAAGGATAGATGCACCACTATGTTCATAGCAGCACAATTCACCATAGCTAAGATCTGGAAACAGCCTAAGTGCCCATCAGTAGATGAATGGATTAGAAAACTGTGGTACATCTACACAATTGAATACTATGCTGCTGTAAAAAGAAGGAATTTTTACCATTTGCACAGCATGGATGGAACTGGAGAGCATTATGCTAAGTGAAATAAGCCAGTCAATGAAGGAAAAATACCACATGATTTCACTCATTTATGGATAATAAAGATCATTATAAACTTATGAACAAAAATAGATACAGAGGCAGAGCAGCCTCGAACAGACTGTCAAACTACAGTGGGAAGGCCGGGGAGCGGGGGTGGGGGGGGTGCAGGAGGGGGGGTAGGAGATCAACTGAAGGACTTGTATGCATGCATAAAAGCATAACCAATGGAAGGACATAAGACACTGGGGGGTAGGGGAGGCCAGGGGATTGTCAAGGGCGGGGAAAAAAAGGAGACATATGTAATACTCTTTGTAATACTTTAAGCAATAAAATAATAAAAAAATAAATTAAAGAAGGCTGAGATACAATCTATTGTTTTCAATAAAGAAAAAAACATGCTAAGCTATTATTAATAATATTTGAAATAATATGCTTTGTGGACCTCTGGTTTAGGCCAGTGCTTCTCACACTATTAAAATAAAAGAACAGTTGTGGACTTAAAACTTTTGTAAAACCAGTAGATATGTCACAGCGATGCCAAATTGCTTTACTTTCTTAAAATATTTTTTTTTATTGATTTCAGAGATGAAGGGAGAGGGAGAGAGATAGAAACATCACTGATGAGAGAGAATCATTGATTGGCTGCCTCCTGCACGCCCCCTACTGGGGACAGAGCCTGGCACCAGGGCATGTGCCCTGACTGGGAATCGAATCGGGACCTCCTGGTTCACAGGTTGATGCTCAAACACTGAGTCACACTGGCCGGATGCCAAATCATTTAAAAAATTTCTAATTATATATTGTGACTGTCTCATACTTATCCCACTGTGGGCCAGCAACAGTGTTTAAGTCAACACTTGCCCATGGACCCTTCCTTCCCAACTCTGTGTTAGCTCGTTTCATCTTGGCTGGCATCTGTCCTGCCTCTAAGATCTAATGACAGCCTGGCCAGAAGGATGTGGCCCTCGGTAGAGTACCAGGTTTTGGTTTTGAGACCATGTGGTCACCAGCCATCGTCAATAGCAGCAGCTCCCCTGTTGGCTGCCCCATGCCTGAAGGGAGATGATGGCAATGAACAGATTGGGAATCTGTGTCCATAAAGTGACACTAATGTCATAGCATGAACTGCAATGTCATCTTGAACCTGCCATTTTCCTGTTCCCATCACAACCAGTAAGAACTGAACCCTTATCCAAAAAGACACTTTTCTTTAGGAGGCCAGAAGGCAACGCAGTTTCCAAGACTGATATTGAATAGAAAAATCACTCCCACCTTAATCTGCCACTCCACCAAGTCAGTTCCTGTGATCATCTCAGTAACAGGATGTTCCACTTGCAGCCTTGTATTCATCTCCATGAAGTAGAAATCGTGCTTTGAGTCCATAATAAACTCCACAGTTCCTAAAAGTAAAATACAATGATCACATTTCAATAGTATGTAATTAGTAGCCAAGTAAAATATTCCTTGTGGTACAGTTTTACCATTGCGTTCATTCAATGGTACTTTGTATTTCATGAAAAAAAATATCTCACATGTTGTAGCAGCAAATGACTCTCAGTCAAAATAGGGAGCCACATGAAATTTTGCAACAGAAAAATATATTTGGGGTTTTGACCAAATAGTAAGCCCAAGATATGAAGCAGTGTCAGCTCTCACGCAGTGAGAACATGACTGCCATGATCCTGGGTCAGTTCATGTACTTGGGCAAAGTTCACCCAGATCCTGGGAACTGCACCCTGTGACATCCCATCTCACTCTAACCCTCTGCAGAAAAATACAATCTTTTCTCCTTAGTTTTGGGCTCTTGGAAATTTCCTTTAAAAGTCCTTTTGCTGGTGACGCATTGAAAGATTGCTTAGCAACTAAATCTTATGTTAATAATGTATTACCTATTGGCATTTTATTAGGCACTACAAAACGTCTCCAGCTTTATCTATATATATAAAAGGCTAATATGGAAAGTGTCCCCTCAGGAGTTCAATCGGGAGACCAGGTGTTCGATCACTCACTATGACGTACGCTGACCACCAGGGGGCGGTGCGGAACAAAGGAAGGCCCCAGCCAGCAGCCAGCAGCCAGGGAAGGAAGCCCCTGGCTGGCAGCTGCAAGGCTCCAATTGGCCCTGATCGATGGCCAGGGCTAAGGACCCTACTCGTGCACAAATTTTGTGCACCGGGCCTCCAGTTAAAGTGTAAAAACTCATCCACTTTGCCTGGCTGGTGTGCCTCAGTGGTTGAGTGCTGACCCAGGAACCAAGAGGTCATGGTTTGATTCCTAGTCAAGGCACACGCCCGGGTTGTGGGCTCAATCCCCAGTTGGGGGTGTGCAGGAGGCAGCCAATTGATGATTCTCTCTCATCAGTGATGTTTTTATATCTCTCTCCCTCTCCCTTCCTCTCTGAAATCAATAAAAATATATTTTTTAAATGTCTTAAAAAGAATGAGCCCTAATATGAACTACGCTCTCTGAGTGATAAAAATGTGTCAGTGTAAGTTTACTGATCAGAACAAATGTACCACTCTGATGTGGAATGTTGATGGTGGGGAGGCTGTGTGCGTGTGGGGACAGGGAGTATATGAAAAAATCTCTGTACTTTCTGCTCAATTTTGCTGTGAAACTAAAACTGCTGTAAAAAATAAACTTTATTAATTTAAAAAATCAATTTTGTAATTTTAATTTCAAATAAGACAGAAAATATCGAATAGCATTATACATGTTAGGATATGCATTATTTAGTAAAATCCTTTTTCAAACATATATGAATATAAGTATACATACACACACACACATATGGTCTCAATATAAAATATGAGTGTGTGTGTTTTGTTTTTTTTTTTCCTTGTGGATCTGGTCAAAAAGGTTTGAAAGCCACTGATATAAAAGCGATATGTTTCTTTTGCCTCTAAAGCATACATAAATTATTGCTTCTCCTTCTCTTTTGGAAACAAATCTTAGCATACCTGCTCCGACATAATTTACAGCTTTAGCAGCTCGGACTGCAGCTTCCCCAAGCCTTTTTCTTACTTCAGGTTTAATACCAGGCTATGAACAAATATTTAAATAAATTTCCATTAGTACTTTGTCCCACTAGAAATTTCCACTAAGATCCAATATTACATCTTCATGTAGCAAATATTACATTCAAGAGATAATAATAAAGATAAAAAGCTGTCACAATACCAAAGTTTAATGGTTCTGCTAGTAATTTCTATGAATTGCACATATTCCTCAGCATAATGATATATCCGTGTCCCTTGTTCCTACATAACTTTTATAACTATATGTCTACTTAAAATTAAATGTGTCAATATAGAAACTTTGAAGTCTCTATTTTAAGATGATAAAGCAATCTGTATCAAGTGTGCAATAATTATCTTGGAATATGGTAAACCTTGAGATTCCAAGTTAAAAATGGTTCAGAAAAAGAAGTGTATGTCAATAAATAGACAAAGCTTTTAAAATTTTAAAAACTGAGCTCTACAGATATATATTTAAGCAGTCACTGTTCAAAATAAGGCTTTACTGAAATTATTGTTGTTGACATTTACTTCAAAAGGTATAATATACTCTACAACAGAAATCAAAATTTTAATATGCGAATAACAAACTGATTACCAGAAATCTCAGATCCCTGACCTGATGAAAACACATACTGATAAAAACATGCATGGCAGTCTCCCCTTATCCATGGGGACGTGTGCAAGATCTCCAGGGG